AATAAATTTACAATACGAAATTGTATTGGTCATAATTGTATTCGATTACTGTTATGAATGGACATTCCATCTGTATGAATATCAATTTCTAAATAATTTGGTATATATGAAAACGGAAGTACTTGAAGCTTTTTAATAATTTGTTTTTGAAAACCAATATGATAATATTCGCCTTGTCCCATTTTAATTATTTGTACAATTTGACGAGGTGTTTGTAACAAAGTTTTTGTTAAACGAGGTAATTGTTGGAAACAGAAATGAGTGCGTAAAACTGCAAGTATTTTATCGCCTTGAGAATGATTAATATTCGCACTTAAAAACATTGAAGCGAGTTCATTACGAAATTGAGTGAGATTATGTTTTTCTACAATTTCATTTTCACTTTCATTATCGTTACTAGATGCACTGTAGCAATGAAGATTAAATTCATCATTGCTATTGTTCTCAGAATCGTCATTTGCAAAACCTGTTTGTTCACAGTTTGTATTAATTTTGATTAAACTTAATTTGTTGTTTATATTGTTTTCTGTAATTGGTAAAGAGACAGATGATGTAGTTTCCAAATTCGTTGCAGGAGACACAAGCTTTTTCATCAAACTTTTTTTCGTCCATTGATTTCTTAAATATTCACGACGTTTTACTATCGGAGATTGTCTACATTGTTTTTTCCCATGGTATCTTATCATGGATATAAATGTAATTATTAAAATTATAATTAATGTAGCAATGAAGAACATTTTGGCTAAAATATACAAATGTTAAGCTTTATATCTATATATGTACACATATTATATGTTAGAGATAAAATGCTAAATACTTTAACTTTATATATTCAACATACCTTTTATTATATATTTCACCCGTGCATTAATTTATCATGCACTTGAATCAAACACAACGCACTAATCAACTTCAACAATTCACTGCTATACTGCTTTCGACAATTTAGTTATTCTCTTGCTTTGCTGTCCACGCGCGTTGTCCACCATGTTACTATAAAAAATGAATGTCGTAGGCCGCGACTCGCAGCCTCACCGAAAAGAAGATCGAGCTAGGACTGTGTGATCAGCGCTACACTGACAATGAGTGATTCCTCTTCCTAGACAGCACAACATATCCAAAAGACGTCCAGAGAATCTTTTTGGGATTACAAGAGATCCTCTAGATATCCTTTGAATGTATTTTGGACATGTGTGCTGTCTGGGTTAGGGCTTATCCAGACAATTTTGTCTGAAGGTCTAAGGGATCACATTTTTACATACGTATTTATAAAATAAATGCGATTAAATAATTTTCTTTATGCATATGATTATGCGGCTATGGAAGTTTGTGTAGATATAGGCTCTTACGTGTAATTTTCCGAGCAAATCTTTCAGACAAAATTAGTACATTGAAATCAACATTTATTTACCTAAACTTTACAATAAATTTATTCTACTTATTTACCTAAACTTTACAATAAATTTATTTTACTTTATGCGGCATAAAATAAAGAAACAATTCATAAATTTATTCACATTTGCTGACATCACATAATGTTGCTAAAATGCATCATTACATAATATATTGAATTTAATTACATATGATGTAAATGCTTTGCATAGTGATGTCGTAAATGTAATATAATAATCTGAAAATAACTTTATATCATATGGTGCTACAGCAGTATGACATAAAATTAAATAATTGCATGACATAAATTTTATAATTAGTTTAATGTAAAAGTTGCTATTTTTTAAATAATAATAAGTAATAATACAATAATTCTAAATTTTCAATAAATTAAATGTTGCATATCGTGATAAATCATACAAGTCTATCTGGGTTGTCAAAAAGGGGTAATGGAGTGAAAGGAAGGAAGACACTTGTCAAAAGTTATTGCTTGGAAAAATCTAAAGGCATAAAAGTCAAACGACGATTTTGCAAACATAGGAATCGTAGAACGGCGAATTGCAAAGGGCCATATTACGACATAGTCCTGTGCAATGATACTTTACTCTGTACAAAGAAACGCAAGACGATCGACTTATTCATTAAAATAAAATGCAAGGAATTTAACATAAAATTATTAATTTCGGCAATGTTGCTCAATATGACGCTTAAGCTAGCAACTGACTCGAAGCAAGGATGGCAGGCCGCTCATGATGTCGAGAAACCGTGGATAGCCTGTACTATACACTGCCAATACACTGCCAACGTACGTCGACGTACGTTTGGAACTGCTCAGCATTAATAATAACCCATACTTTCCAGATGTAACGTGGTGTTCCATCGTGGTGAAAAAGATGGCCAGAATTATTACTGCCGACAACATTATTGTCTGCCTGAAAAGCTCTTAAGAAACACATATAATAGTAAGGCTCCATATGATAACAATCAAGAAATATAATAAAAGAGCATTAAGAGCCGTCGCAGGATGTTAGTGCAGGATATTAGTGCAGAAAAGAAGAGAGAAAAAATATCAGGGCGCGAGTGGCTAAACCGGGAATTGAACCCGGGTCTTCCGCTTGCCGGGCGAATGTTCTGACCACTAAACTACTCAGACCTCACGCTTCTAACATTTATCTCTCCTAGATTAGGAAGTCAACAATTCTGTAGGACATAAACGCGTCATAATGCCCGCGTGATTTAAAAACACATATAATAATAAGGCTCCATATGATAATAATCAAGAAATATAATAGAAGAGCATTAAGAGCCATCACAGGATGTTAGTGCTAAATTTTTAATTTTTTTAAAGAAATTAATAAATTAGTCCACAAGAGACCCGGCTTAGCCACACGCGCCCTGATATTTTTTCTCTCTCTTCCTTTCTTTCCAATAATTCCTATATGTACATTAAGTTTCTCGATATATGAGAACAATGTACTTAAAATTTCGTACACTTTAGGTATCGCGATCTGAGATCGGTGTACAATCTAACTGTCTCTTGTGGACTAATTTATTAATTTCTTTAAAAAAATTAAAAATTTAGCACTAACATCCTGCGACGGTTCTTAATGCTCTTCTATTATATTTCTACTCTTAAGAATTTTTGAGGGATTATCAACATGTGTGAACAAGGATTCGAGGAAAAGGAAAATTATAAAACGCGCATAAATCAGTATAGAGAAGTCGGTCAATTCATTTGGTACCGAATTTTCGATTGCACTCTTGCTTGATGGAGACAAAAAATTACGTCAAATTATCAATATCAAAAACAAAATTGGTCGATTAGCATTATTAAAAACATAACAAACAATTAAAGTAACAGATAATAATTAATATGTTTGCAAAAAGGGAAAATAAATAGCTCAATACAGTAGAGATACTTTTATTCCGTTCAACACAATGTATCCAGAGAAAATCTACGAGTGCGAGAACATCGCTCACTATGTATTTTAATAGTCTATCAATGTTCCAATAATACTTATATAGAACGATTAATAAACAAAAAAATAAAGGGAGTTTTATTACAAAAAATGAATAATTTTCAAAAATATTTAGTACAAATTGTTATTTATTTCTTCAACATATTGACTCGGTAACCGAATACAACACGTCAGAAATCGAAATTTTACAATATACTTTCTAACTCAGTAAATCCGAAAGCAATTGTATTTTCCATTTATATTAAATTTGATATTCATAACGCTAAATTGCGTTAGCAATATTATGTTATAATATAATCATTTTAAAATTGTTATTAATTAAAATTTTTTAACGTTTATGTATAACGGTCAAAAAGTTTGTGAATAATGTGGCATATTCTACATATCGATCACAATTCGAATTTTCTAAAATTCCACCGTTTTGCAAGTATTATACAATGAAATTTACAATTCAAAGCCAGAAAGAAAAAGAAATATATAGAAGGTGTCCCAATAAAATGTATATACATTTTATTATTAGATATTTTAACAAAATCGACGTTAACTTGTTAAATGCGAAAATATTTCATTGGAACACTCTATATATGTAGCATATGGAGTATATACACAATAAGTGTCACACGATACGAATTATTTTCCTAAATCTAGATGCCTGTATGTGTGATCTATACGCGATCAGAACATATGACAAACATGAAAGTATTATAACGTACGTATATCATAAGTAATGTGATGTGTAAAGTTAACTAAACATCTTTCGGTAGTTATAATTGAAAAACGAGATAAACAACATGTTTTTCATGTTGAAATTGGTGTTAATATTTTTATTAAACGAAACGCAAGCGTATATCACGCAAGATATCGAAAGAATATTGCTACCGGCATTGAATACGACAGAGATAGAGGAAGTACGTGAGTTTTACTGTATTGCTTCGTTTATTGCTCAATTATCAAAATATTATTAGCAAATTATCAAGTTTTTTTAAATTCTTATATAATTTACAGATACCACTGACTTTAAAAATTTTTGGAAAACAGATTAAGTTAAACCTGCGAAGAAACGACAAGAATGTATCGTCGACGTATAAAGTATGGAAACATGACGCAAAAGACATCACAAAAGAATTGTCGGAATTACATGCATCGGATCCTTGCTATTATTTTCACAAAGATCGTATCAGCACTGCGGCCATAAACGTTTGTCAGGAATATGGATGGGTTAGTGTCACATGAAAAGCAAATAGCTTTTCCTTTTAATTTCAATTTCTCTTTGTTTTATGTATAATCATGACTTTCAAGAACTTGACATATATTTTTTAAAAGTAGGAAGGATTTGTTTTTCTCAAAGACAACACATTAGAAATTAAAACTTTGCGGGATGATCATGCGTCTTTGTCCACACTCGACGATCTTTGCGTTAAAGAAAAAATTAATGTTTCATTTGGCAAAGCTCACCTCATTAAAAGATCTTTGCAATTATCTGCTGATTCAAGTTTTCAAAATTTTGATAATTTTAAATTGAAGCGGCGACGTGTACAAAATACTCAAGAAAAATTAACTATGGAACTGGCTGTTTTCTTAGACGAAGCCGCATATCGTACGTTCATACCATTTCTGAGTGAAAATAAAAATGTGTTGCGCATGTTGATATTAGCGTATGTGAATCGTATCCAAGCTGTGTTTCATCATCCGAGTTTGGGTGTTTCCATCGATATTTCATTGGTACATTTGGAAATTATGGATGAACAACCTTTAAATTTGCCAGTTTTTGGCGGCGACGATAGAAAACTGCTTGATTCGTTCTGCAATTACGCGAAAACTCGCAATCCTCCGGACGACAATAATCCACATCACTGGGACGTTGGTCTTTACCTAACTGGAGTAAATATTTATTGGACAAAGCAAGACGATCTAAGTAGCCTAGGATTAGCAAACCCCGATAGCGCATGCAACTTGAATGAATCGTGTGCGATAGTAGAATTCGGTATTGCGGATAAAATAACCTCGGGTTTTTCATCGTCTCTCACTGCTGCTCATGAGATCGGTCATGTGTAAGTTTAAATATAAAGTTTAACAAATTAGTTTAACATACAAGTTTAAATATGATAATATGTTTTATAAGCATTATTTGAATTGTTTAATTTACAATCAAAAAGCAAAGAAATTTTTTTCAGAGATGTTTTCTTTTAATTGTTCAGTATGATAATTATTAATTAAATTTAATATTTATATATTTAGAATAATCAATGCAAAGTAAAACACATTGTCAAAATTAATAATTTATTTGTTTAAAAGTTTGGGAATGATACATGATTTCGATTATGAAATTTCGTGTGATGCATACAAATACATAATGTCGTCTAAGCAGTACTCTCAAGGTCAAATCACATGGTCCGAATGTAGCCGTGGTATAGCTGAAAAACTCTGGTACGAAAAGGATTGCCTTCGAGATCAGACGAGACCGAAACGTTTAGGTGACACATCACTCTCGTTAGGTGACACATCACTCGACCACTCACGTTATCACGATTTACCCGGAAGAAAATGGACCGCCAAAGCACAGTGCGAAATATATTTCCGCGACAAGGATGCAAACGTAGTCTCGTTGCTTGATATATGCAAAACCTTAGAATGCGAAACGCCTCATGATAATTTATATGCCTTCACGGGACCGGCATTGGAAGGTACATTTCCTGTTGCTGATCGTTGAAACAGTTTATAGCTTAATTAATCTCATTTTTTAAGGAACTTATTGTGCACCCGGAAAGGAATGTCGTGGCGGAGAATGCGTACCCGTTATCGAACCACCGTACCTCTTTGAGAATTGTGAAGATGATAATTGGAGTGAATGGAAAGAAGACACCTGTCAAAGTATCTGCTTGGAGAAATCTAAAGGTGTAAAACTTAAACGACGTATTTGCAAACATAGGAATCGCAGAACGACGAGTTGTCAAGGGACATATTACGACGTAGTCTTGTGCGATGATACTTTACCTTGCATTAAGAAACGCAAAACGATCGACTCATTTACCAAAATAAAATGCATGAAATTTATCAATGACTTATCCACCATGCCGTTTAAGAAGTTGACGCTTGAACTAGCACCTGAGTTTGAGCCAGGATGGCAGGCCGCTCATGATTTCGAGAAACCGTGGATAGCCTGTACTATACACTGCAAACGAAAAAATTCGTCTACTATCGACGCACAACGCTTGAAAATGCTCAACCTTAATATTAATCCGTACTTTCCAGATGGAACGTGGTGTCATGAGAAAGATGGCCAGGATTATTACTGCCGACAACATTACTGTCTGCCTGGAAGATACTCTTAAGAATTTTTGAGGGATTATCAACATGTGTGAACAACGATCGAGGAAAAAGAAAATTATAAAACGCGCGTAAATCAGTATAGAAAAGTTGGTCAATTCGTTTGGTACCGAATTTTTGATCGCACAATCTGCCGTGTTAACATTTGTTTTGCGTATCATCTATATCTTGCTTGATGGAGACAATAAACTACGTCAAATTATAATATCTAAAACAAATTTCTTCGATTAGCATTAGTAAAAACATAATAAACAATTAAAGTAACAGATGATAATTAATATGTTTGCAAAAAGGGAAAATAAATAGCTCAATAAAGTAGAGATACTTTTATTCCGTACGACACAATGTGTAAAGAAAAAATCCACGAATGCGATAACGTCACCCACTATGTATTTTAATAGTCTATTAATGTCTCATTAATACAATATTTACATAAGATTGATTAATAAATAAAAAAAGTAAAAAGAATTTTATTACAGAATTTAATAATTTTCAAAATTATTTAGTACAAACTGTTATTTTTTTAATGAACACATAAGCTCGGTAACCCATTACAGCACGTCAGAAATCGATAAATGTTAGAGTATACTTTCTAACACTGTAAATCGGTAAGCAATTGTATTTTCCTTTGATAATGAATTCGATATTTATAACGCTAAATTGCGTTAGCAATGTTATGTCATAATAATTTTAAAATTGTCAACAATTGAAATTTTCTTATGTTTATGAGTAACATTGAAAATGTTTGTGAATAATGTTGCATACTCTACATATCGATCGTAATTCGCATTTTTTTTAATTCCATCGTTATCGCTAGTATTATATGTGAAATTACAATTCAGAATCAAAAAGGACACACACACACACACTCACACACACACACACACACACACACACACACACACACACACACACACATACCCACATACATATGCCATATATATATATATATGGCTTAAAAGGTATATACATACATAAACAATAAGTGTCACACGACACGAATGATACTCCTAGATACTTGTACGTATTTTATACGCGACCTCCTAAGACAACGAACGTGAGAGTGTTATAACGTATCAATATAATAAATAATTTCATATACAAAAAAGCTTTAATTAAACATTCTCAAGTAAAAAATTAAAAAAACACGAGCACCAACATGTTTTTTATTTTGAAATTTGTGTTAATAGTTTTATTGAATAAAACGTACGCGTATACCATGCCAGATGTCCAAACAATATTGCTGCCCGCATTAAATATGACAGACGCAGAGGAAGTAAGTTTTAGTGTACTGCTTTATTTATTGCTTAATGTCCAAAATATTATTCGAGAATCATCAAGTCTTTTATTTATGGTCACCTAATTTACAGATAACGTTAACTCTGAAAGGCTTTGGAAAACAGATTCAGTTAAACCTGCGTAGAAACAACCAGATCGTATTTACGTTTAAAGTATGGACGCATGATGCAAAAGGCATCACAGAAGATCTGTCGCAATCATACGCATCGGAATCTTGCTATTATCTTCACAAAGATCACATCAGCACTGCGACCATGAACTTTTGTCATAAACACGGATGGATCAGTGGTGTCATATAAAAATCAAATAGTTTCTACTTTTAAATTCAATTTCTTTTTACTTTATATATAAGAATGACATGAAAGAATCTTAATGTATATTTTTTAAAGTAGGAGGGTTTTGTTTTTCTGAAAGACGACACATTGGAAATTAGACCTTTGTCAGATGATTATGCGTCCTTGTCTTTAATCGACGATCTTTGCGTTAAAGAAGAAATTAATATTTCTTTTGGCAAACCTCATCTTATTAAAAGATCATCGCAATCATCTGCTGATTCAAGTTCTTATAATTTAAATCTTGAAATGAAGCGACGTCATGTACAAGATACGCAAAAAAAATTAACTATAGAACTGGCTGTTTTCGTAGATGAAGCTGTATATCGTACGTTCATGCTTTTTCTGGATAATGATGAAGAAATATTGCGCATGTTGATATTAGCGTATGTGAATCGTATCCAAGCTGTGTTTCATCATCCGAGTTTGGGTATTTCTATTGATATTTCATTGATACATTTGGAAATTATGAAAGAACCGTTAAATTTGTCAGTTTTTGACGGCGACAATATGAAACTGCTCGATTCGTTCTGCAATTTCGCCGAAACTCGTAATCCTCCGAACGACAATGATTCACGTCACTGGGACGTTGGTCTTTACCTAATAGGAATGAATTTTTATGGGATGAAAGTAGCTACCGAGCAATTAAGTCTTTTAGGAATATCCCACATCGCCACAAGGTGGCGCATGCAACTTAACTAAATCGTGTGCGATAGTAGAATTCGGTACAGCGGATCAATTAAACTCGGGTTTTTCATCGTCTCTCACTGCTGCTCATGAGATCGGTCAGGTGTAAGTTTATATATAAAGTTTAACATACAAATTAGTTTGTCATACAAATGTAAATATGATAATATTTTTATTAAGAATTATTTGAATTGTTTAATTTACAATCAAAATGTAAAGAAACTTTTTTAAGAGATTTTTTCTTTTAATTGTTCAGTATAATAATTATTAATAAATTTTAATATAAAAATATTTATATAGAATAAACACTGCAAAGTAAAGCATATTGTCAAAATTAATAATTTATTTGTTTTAAAGTTTAGAAATGGAACTCGATTCAGTACCGTGTGTAACAAACAAATACATAGACAAATACCTTATGTCACCTTTACGAAACCATCAAGGCCAGACAACGTGGTCCAAGTGTAGCCGTGATGTAGCTAAAAATTTCTGGCACAAAAAAGAATGCCTTCGAGATAATACGAGACCGAAACGTCTAGGTGACGCACTTGACCATTCCCGTTATCACGACTTACCCGGAAGAATATGGATCGCCAAAGCACAGTGCGAAATATATTTTCATGACAAAGATGCAAACGTAGTCTCGTTGCTTGATATATGTAAAACCTTACAATGTGAAACGCCTCACAAGAATGGGCATTACATCACGGGACCGGCGTTGGAAGGTACGCTTCCACTTCCTGATCTCTCTAATAGTTTGTAACTTAATTAATCTTATTTTTTAAGGAACTTATTGCGCACCCGGGAAGGAATGTCGTGGCGGAGAGTGCGTTCCCGTTATCGAACTGCCATATATTTTTAAGCATTGTCAGAAGGATAAGTGGAGTGAATGGAAGGAAGACACTTGTCAAAGTAGTTGCTTGGAAAAATCTAAAGGCATAAAAGTCAAACGACGATCTTGCAAACATAGGAATCGCAGAACGGCGAATTGCAAAGGGCCATATTACGACGTGATCCTGTGTAATGATACTTTACTCTGTACAAAGAAACGCAAGACGATCGACTCATTTATCGCAATAAAATGCGAGCAATTTAACAGAAAATTATTCATCTCGTCAATGTTGTTCAAATTTACGCTTGAACCAGCAATTGACTCGAATCAAGGATGGCAGGCCGTTCATGATTTCGAGAAACCGTGGATAGCCTGTACTGTACACTGCCAACGAGAAAATTCGACTACTTTCGTCGCACGTTTGGAACTGCTCAGCATTAATGATAACTCATACTTTCCAGATGGAACGTGGTGTCACGAGAAAGATGGCCAGAATTATTACTGCCAACGACATTATTGTCTGCCTGAAAGCTATTCTTAAGAATTATTGAAGGATTATCAGCACGTGCAAACAAAGATCGAGGAAAAAGAAAATTATAAAACGCGCGTAAATCAGTTTAGAGAAGTTGGTCAATTCGTTTGGTATCGAATTATCGCTTGCACAATCTGTCGTGTTGACATTTGTTTTGCGTATCCTCTTTATCTTGCTTGATGGAGACACAGTATTACGTCAAATTATCAATATCAAAAACAAAATTTGTCGATTAGCAGTAGTAAAAACATAAAAATTAATAAAAGTAGTTGGTAATAATGAATATGTTTGCAAAAAAGGAAAATATATAGCTAAATAAAGTAGAGGTACTTTAATTCAGTACGACACAATATATCCAGAGAAAATCCACGAGTGCGATAATGTCACTCACTATGTATTTTAATAGGCTATTAATGTTTCATTAATACTTACATAGAAACGATTAAAAAATAAAAAAAAGTGAAAAAAATTTTGTTACAAAATTTAATAATTTTCAAAATTATTTGGTACAAATTGAGAGCGCGGATCAAAGAACTTGCTTAGCGCTCGAAATCGTGTAAAAGTTTTGTCCAAATGTCTCAGAGAATAAAAATTTTAAAAGTCGCAAAATTAATTTTTTTTAAATATAGGTTTGCAGAGAATGACGAGACGTAACTTTTTTCTATTTGCAGTTTTTTTGTTCAATGCTTATTTTTGATAATAAAAATAAAGAACTGAACAATTTTTATCCCCAAATTTAATAAGATTTTAAGATATAAATCGTTGTAATTTGACCAAATTTTGTTGAAATTGTTTGAAATTTGGTATACGCATGCAGTATAGTCCAGCGATACCTATAAAATAATAAAGAAGCTGAAAATCGCCTATTGTTTAATAATAATTAATTGCAAATTGAGCCCAGTCGGTAACCACGTTTTTTTAGTTTCGCCGACAAAAAGTATTGAGGAAACTTAAAATTTAAAACAACTACCACTGAGACATTTGTTCTTCACTATTGAAGAAAAGTTTCTGAAAATTTTCAGATCGATTCATTAAAAATTTGCGGAAATATGCATTTTATAAGAAAACATGCGACGCCGCCAATGATAGCCCCGCGTGAGCGCTGAGCACCATCAGGCAGCGTACTCGCCGTTCGGTTTTCCAGGACTCGATTTTATAATGATTTTTAATGGTTATACATTTGAACAATCGCCCGCTCCCCATAAAATATCGAAACGACGAACTATTATTTATACGATTCCTTAATTAAATACTTTTATTATTATTATTTCAAAATATTTTACATACACTCCAGAGACGCCGTCTCTAGGACAATAGAGCATGGAGAAAAATTGATGAGAATCCGTGTTTTACAGTAAAAGCCTTATAGAATAATTAATAATGTATATTTAATTAAATGCTTACTTACTCTATTTTTTAAATAATACATACTCTCATCATATTTTTAATGCTGAAATGTGTACATTTTGTTGGAATCATTTTTTTGGTATTATATGCAATAAAACTAAGCTTTACAAATTTTGTTTACAGTAATTTTTTTACAGCTTTTCCAAGGGAATGTTTTACAGAACCTTTTATTTTGCAGTTTTCTTAGCAGAATTTTTCGTAACGTTATCGTTATTGTCTGAAGCTTCTTTCGCAGACTTTGTTTTTACAGAATCTTTTTTTACAGTTTTTCCAGATTCTTCTTGTGAAGCTGTTTTAGATGATATTTTTATGAAAGCTTTTTCTATGAAACTATTGAAAAAGTTGTGCCTTTTAGGACTCAAATAACGAAGCAACATTTTCACGTCGTTCAATTTTTCTTTGCTTGTTCCAATGGGTAGTGCGGGTTGTGTTTTTAGCAAGTCATCGAATTCAAAGACAGAACGTATGATATGATCAGTCGGTTTTTCATTATAACTATTAAATACATTAACGTGGCCGTTTGCGAAATAGGTGATTTTTACAGCGTCTCTAATGTGAAGGTTTTTTGGAATGTCTACTTGTTTTGCAATAGGCGTTTCAAGATCGTTCACAGTTACCTCCGATTCTTTGATTATGGTAAACGGTGGATGTCTTGCACTTTCAATAAGTCAAAAATATTCATCATCTGTTTCTATTATTTCCATTTTTTTTCTTTTTTTGTCCATACATCTCGAAGTTGCGATCGCGAGAACAATAAGAATGATCACAAATACATGACCGGATATACATGATGTATTTCAATCTGTAATTTCTTAGACAGTAGTGATAAAAAAGAAACAATCAAATAATTTTTATTTTGGCCTCCGCAACTGTCCGAAAACAAATATATTTTATTATAATAATCGAATTTAAGTTCTCGTTGTACGGAATCGAAAAGAAAATTGCACATCGTATTTGCACTTTTTTTCAAGTCATCTTCCATGAAGAAATACATATAACTACGTTTGTGTTTACCAAAAACGTGCACATTGAAAATGTGTAGCCAAATGAGCCTTCGATAAAATTAATCGGAAACTGGAATTTTTGGTAAGGGCAAATTTTGCCCAAAATCAAATTTAAGGCACAAAACATTCTTTTCTGATAGCATGTTTTTTTTTTAATTTTTATAATTTTCAACAGTTTTTTTGTGTTTTTCCAGCTCAACATTAATTCCTACGCTATTTCTATGTTCAAAACAAAAGTTATAAACATTGGTGCGTGGTTTCGAAAAAGTAAAATTCAGATTGTGGTTGAAGTATTTAGCATAACTTGACTTTGTAATCGGAGGATCTAAATCACCAGTTTTGGCAGTGCAATATTCAATAAATAATTCGTATAATTTATTCACAGTTAAATCGGAATGATCAAAATATAGTAATGTAGAACTTTATTATATTATAGAGAGCGCCCATTAATTAATTGATTTATTAAATTAAAAATATAATAACGTGAAAAGCGGCCACGTTAATGTATTTAATAGTTATAATGAAAAACCGATTGATCATATCATACGTTCTGTTTTTAAATTCGATGATTTGCTAAAAACACAACCCGCACTGCTCATTGGAATAAGCAAGGAAAAATTGAACGACGTGAAAATGTTGCTTCGTTATTTGAGTCCTAAAGGGCACAACTTTTTCAATAGTTTCATAGAAAAAGCTTTCATAAAAATATCATCTAAAACAGCTTCACAAGAAGAATCTGGAAAAACTGTAAAAAAAGATTCTGTAAAAATAAAGTCTGCGAAAGAAGCTTCTGACAATAACGATAACGTTACGAAAAATTCTGCAAAGAAAACTGCAAAATAAAAGGTTCTGTAAAACATTCCCTTGGAAAAGCTGTAAAAAAATTACTGTAAACAAAATTTGTAAAGCTTAGTTTTATTGCATATAATACCAAAAAAATGATTCCAACAAAATGTACACATTTCAGCATTAAAAATATGATGAGAGTATGTATTATTTAAAAAATAGAGTAAGTAAGCATTTAATTAAATATACATTATTAATTATTCTATAAGGCTTTTACTGTAAAACACGGATTCTCATCAATTTTTCTCCATGCTCTATTGTCCTAGAGACGGCGTCTCTGGAGTGTATGTAAAATATTTTGAAATAATAATAATAAAAGTATTTAATTAAGGAATCGTATAAATAATAGTTCGTCGTTTCGATATTTTATGGGGAGCGGGCGATTGTTCAAATGTATAACCATTAAAAAATCATTATAAAATCGAGTCCTGGAAAACCGAACGGCGAGTACGCTGCCTGATGGTGCTCAGCGCTCACGCGGGGCTATCATTGGCGGCGTCGCATGTTTTCTTATAAAATGCATATTTCCGCAAATTTTTAATGAATCGATCTGAAAATTTTCAGAAACTTTTCTTCAATAGTGAGAAACAAATGTCTCAGTGGTAGTTGTTTCAAATTTTAAGTTTCCTCAATACTTTTTGTCGGCAAAACTAAAAAAACGTGGTTACCGACTGGTCTCAATTTGCAATTAATTATTATTAAACAATAGGCGATTGTTAGCTTTTTTATTGTTTTGTAGGCATTGCTAGACTATACTGCATGCGTATACCAAATTTCAAACAATTTCAACAAAATTTGGCCAAATTACAACGATTTATATCTTAAAATCTTATTGAATTTGGGGATAAAAATTTTTCAGTTTTTTATTTTTATTATTAAACATAAGCATTGAACAAAAAAACTGCAAATAGAAAAAAGTTATGTCTCGTTATTCTCTACAAGCCTATATTAAAAAAAATTAATTTTGCGATTTTCAAAATTTTTATTCTCTGAGACGTTTGGACAAAACTTTTACACGATTTCGGGCGTTGAGCGAGTTCTTTGATCCGCGCGCTCAATTGTTATTTATTTATTAAACACATGAGCTCGGTAATCGATTACGGCACGTCAGAAATCGATAATTTCACAATATATTTTCTAACTCAGTAAATTGGTAAGCAATTGTAATTTTCTTTTATATTAAATTTGATATTTACAATGCTAAATTGCGTTAGCAATGTAATGTTATAATCATTTTAAAATTGTCATTAATTAAAATTTTTTTAATGTTTATGAATAACGGTCAAAATGTTTGTGAATAATGTTGGATATTCTACATATCGATTATAATTCAAATTTTCTAAAATTCTACCATTGCCGCAAGTATTTGTTGTGTGTCGAAAGACCCCAACGTTATAATTATAAGTTAATTGGGCAACAACAATAATAAATTTTTAGAAGGCTATTAATTGAGGCCACTTCTCGAGAATCATGTTACAAAATTCATTTAATTATTTAACAATTAGGCGCTGACGCGAGCACTCGTTCTTAAAAGCCCGAGTGTCATTTGCGCCTAAAGTAGGTTAAACAGATCAGCATTTTGGTAATACAATGGACCGTTATTGTTCAAGTTTCATTGTGTTCCGAATACTGATCCGTATAAATAAAGGCGGCACACATAGCGCCGCGGGTTATCTTATTTGTAAAGTTCCGGACGAAGCACGACACGCCACGTACACGCGTAACCGCAGTAATACGGTCGCCGTGTGAATGAAGTGTAAAGCGTAATAAAAGAATACCAAATAAAGGCAATAACTTATTTATTGAGAAACAGTTAATTGCTTTGACTCTCGAGTAAAGCCCCCTCGGCCAGCACGGCGAATCCCGAATCTATTACGCAGCGTTTACCGCTACCATAGTAGGCGCAACAAATTGGTGGCAGCGGTGGGATTTGCCATCTTCACCGTTTATCCGGATGTTCTGGATACCCTGATGTCCTGGGCATGACTGCAGCTGAATCAAGAAGCCTAACTCGAAGAGTTAGAAGCACAGGCGCCAGAGCTAAACAACGCAAAAGGAAAGTTAAAGTGTTGAAACTAATGACCAAGGAAGTAGCAAGGCCGAAGCAACCCGCAGCAGCAAGCAGCAGAGGGACAGCA